GTTTTGATAATCGTTTTAGTTGTTCACAACAACATGGCGACACAGGTAACACGGTAGAAGTGACTGTCCCATGTGTAGAAAACATCTGGAGAGTGCCAATGTAGCGACATATCATGGCGACATGTCGAAGCTACAGGCTCTTAGATTTCAGAAAAAAATGAGAATTACAATTACGATTATATATACAAATTACTGACTGTTTCATCAGCCAGACCATTTACAAAAATGCATATCATTTTCAATTGCCTTAGAGTAAAAACAATAAGTAAATAACTATCAGTCGTGATTTTTTTAAATAAGATAATAGGAAATCAGAAAAATGTTAATGAATGAACGAAACATAAGAGGGAATCACCAAAGACATTTCAAAACTATTCTATCTAACAATTTTGAATAACTCAAGAATGTACGTATTGGTTAAAATTAAGCTCAAATATATCTGTAAACATAATGAATATATCAACTTGAAGTTCGCTAGTATGAGAAAGAGCCAAGTGAGAACCCCACAACAAAAATTAATCATGTATATATATAGAATAAATACAGTCCAGAAGAGTTAATTTATTGAGAATGGGTCTATTTCAAATGTAATGGTCTATTCACAGTAAAGGGCACAAAGCGGGGGCTCTGCCTAGAAACGTACTTGTTGATTGGATAATGTTGAACTATCTAATTAATATTAACTAGAACTAATATCGATGTCACAATATCAATTCCGGATTGGTCAATTTAAATTTAAACATTCGTTTTGATTTATAAAGATGTATATTTATAAAACGTTTATAACGACCACAGCTTTATATACGTCGATATGATCGACTTGTAATTTGAAAAGAAAACATAAATGTCGGGAAACTTGTGGTGATTGAAGCAGAGTTGAATTCTATATTCAATCCAATTACTGCAATTACTGTAGTCACGGTGTCTTCTGTAGGGTGTGTGACTGGCTGGCGAAAGGAGAGCTGTTTATCTGAAAGACTGTGGATATACGGCGGTCACACGTGATAAGAATGCATAAATAATACATAATAACGTGCGCTTTTCCAGCAGTGTCGTCATCAAGTATTGTAATATACAAGTCTTGCCAGTCGTTATCATATATTGAGACACGTCACCAGCCCACGCAAGAACGGCGGCGCTGGTAACATTAATACGAGTGATGGGTTGTCATACAACGGACTTGCGCTGGGGATCGTCTATTGGAGTACATGAAACTGCTCTTTAGTATGCTCTTGTCAGTCAGTTGACAAGTCATAGAAGTTATCATTGCCAGGTTAGATAAGTCACCAGAGACCATTCAGAGTAATAAGCTTTACAGATGTGTGAATGGCAGTTACACACATTCGTTTGTGAATGATCGTGACTACCTGACATCTACTTGGAATACTCCATCACAGGATAGCAGGTAGGTGTGTAAGAGATAGGATGTCGACTGTTTGTCGTAGTTCACTCCTAAATATTCAATATTCCAAAATATCCACATAATTATTTTCGGGTATCCAACAAGCTTAGCCGTGAGAGTTCCAGATGTTGAAGCAAGTACGTAAGCTATCAGTATCTTCCTTCTTGTTTCGAAAGAAGAAACTGCATTCTGGGTAATTGATCCATCTAACTCTTATTATGTGTATGTAGTATGTGTAGTATTATTTAACTTAGTTACGTTTTACTTTTTAGAATATCAATTACACTTGCCTGCCCGCAAAATATTTGAAAACATATACAAATTTCACGGGTTTATTTGCGAGGGACAACACAAACATTTAATCGAGTCTCTCTCTCTGCTAATGAATATTTATTTGCCCCTGGTAGGAAAACGGCGAGCCAGGTATAGCGACTAATAAATCAGGTTTATAACGTAAGACTAACAATTAACATTATTTATGGCTGTTTTTGATACTGGATCTTCTCTCGTCACGTCTTTCTCTAAGTGCCATTAATTCTAAGGACGCATATGACGTCACACGTTGGTCGAACACTTTCAACAATCTTCAAACAATGTTCTTAGACCGTGTTGATAGTTATATTAAAACTGAATCTCATACACGTGTATGGGTTACCTTAGATACTTATATTTTAAATGTTTCAAGTATGAAATACTAGAAAAGATCACATATAATACTTAAATTAAAGTTGTTAATCAAAATTAAAGCATTGTTTATTGAGGACTTCATGGTGAGGATGACGATATGGTGATG